GGGAAATGAGATGGCTTTATAATGAATGGTTCATTCAGGCTTACTGTAGTTAAACTGAGTCAGTTCGATAAGTAGCCCAAATTACGTGCACACTTGTAAAAAGATCCCAAATCATTCAAAATGATATGGAACGCTGTCTGACTTTGTCTATTTAAGAGAGACAGTTTTAGCCCTCACTGGTAGTAACCTCGTGTCTTTCCACTCAAAACACAATCCGTTCACTAGCGCTCTTCTCTCCCTGCTGCTGACAAACACTGTAGATGCATATTTTCCCAGCTCTACTAACTGGAACAAACCATTTGAAAACCAAATGAACTAGGGCTGTCAAAAAAAAAAAAATGCGAATTTCGAATATTCGTCGAATTAAAAAAAAAAATCCACATTCGAATGCAAAAACGTTGCATTCGATTAATAGGCTGATAGATGGAGAAGATGCGGAGAAGATGTTGTTTATGTCAAAACTGAAACCAAGCCGTTCACACAGAACGCATATTTATCTCATTTTCTAGAGGGACATCTATCAGCTTTGCACTCGCGTCGGGAGAGAAGCCAAAAGCTTTTTTTCCCCCTAACTGAAATTATTGCATTTAAATTTGAATATAATTCCAATTTTGATCATATTTAAGTAGAAAATTCGAATTTAGTTTTTCAGTCATTTTGACAGCCCTAAAATGAACTCAAAATCCCATTCTGCAGAATTGTATCAAATAAATAAATAAAAACATACTAGGGATACATATAATTAACCCTCATAATGCATTTGGGTCTGTTTTAACCCAGAAGAGATTTCTAATAAATGCAAAGGTTTTATTAAAGGAACAAAACTCAAAATAAACTCAAGACTCTCAAATTTTTATTTATTTTTTTGTCAAAGACAAACTTTCTTAAATGTTGTTTATATGTAGTTTAGTTATTTATTTTTTTCTATTTTTTTCACTTGTTTCTCACCATGAATGCAGCTGTGGTAGACGACACGGCACAACATTATCAACAAACAAATATCTTGACTGCTGAGATATAGCCATTTCAAAAAATGTTACATGTTTATAAATTGTCTGCGAAGTTAAATTAGTGTCAAAAACTTTAAAAATATATATTTAGGCCAGTGGCGGCACTTGATAGGGCTATAGCCCTGTCAAAAACTTTCCTAATGATATTCCGGTTTTTAACTCCCAGTGTCACTTTCATTAACATTGAAAAATAAACATTAAAAAGAAAAAAAAAAGTGCCTAATATGTGGCCTATAAACAATTGACATTATGGGGAAGGGGTCAATTAGGTGTGCTCAGTGTTTCCATGACGCAGTTATAATATTTCACAGTTAAAGAATCAATGATAAAATAAAGTAATATAATTGGTAGCTATAGCTATTTTAAAAATACAGTTCACGGGAAAAATTGCAGAGCCATGGGTTGTGGTGTTTTGGGCTACTTTTATAATAACAAAAACGTGAATACATTTTTACAGAAATATATTAGCTACAATGCTTTAGCATAATGTGCATCTCAAAATAATAGGCTAATACTATTACTTGTAAGGAATATCATTCAACCCAAATATTTTTCATCCATGTTTTAATATTAAACAGAGTTTTGTCGTGCATCATCTTACTTGACAAAAATAAAAATGCAATGTTTTTGTTGTAAATTAATTGTTATATGTTTATTATATTATTACCAATTTCATTAGACAGAATTTTTCATGATAAATTTGTAATATATCATAAATCAGAAAATAAATAAAATGGAAAACACAATTTAGGAGAAAATAAAGTGAATTTTATGGGGCCCTAAATTAAACGTTGGCTTGAAAGAATAAAAAAAAATAAAATAAAATAAAAAGTTATGTTTACATGCATTCTCAAAGCATTTATTTCCATAATAATGGTAAATGAATATTGTGATAAATATTGCTATGATATGGAAAAAATATATATATTGTCATAATATTTCTGGTCATATCACCCAGCCCTTTTAATTTTATCTTGAAAAGTGCTTAAAATTCAAATGAAAGAAAGGGTAAAATAAAATAATTTAATATGCACATACTATATATAAACTTGCCTTGCTAAGATTCAAAACACAGGCCTAGAATAAATAAAATCAAAATTATTATTTTAAAGGGCATTAATGGAATAAAGCAGCTGTCAGCTGTGATTGGACAGGGCAAAAATTGGGTTAGTTTTCAATCCTTTTGGGCAGGTTTTGAGTAAGGCTTTGGGCTGGAAATTTTTCTGGGACCTGGCAACCCTGGGCACGCTGTACAGTGTGCATTAGCGTTCGATGGAGCGCTGTTTAATATCAAGTAAAAGACCGCGAATTTCAGACACTTTGAAGAATAGCTCAGATGAGAACAATAACACAAGTCGACAGCCTCAGTCTGAAGTTCAGGATCGTCACACAGAACTGCAACGCTTAAAAAAATAGCTTTTGTGGAAATAGTTTTAAGAATTGTCTGCACTTTATTGTAAAAAAACAATGTTAGAATTTACAATGTTTTCCTGCCAGTTGGCACTGAGAGTGACTGACACTTGATAGCCCAAAAAATACATTTAAATAGATGTATAAACATAAATAAATAAAAAGAAAAGAAAAGAAAATCCCTACTTTCTCTCTTTTCTTATGTGTGTTCATACATTTTATGAATTTGTCTGTGTTATATTTGTCAGTTGGCATTAAAAGTTGTATTACTAATAACAGTGGCATATGAGAAGTTTAATACCACAGAGAAGAAAAAAAAAATCAAATATGCCTTTTTTGAAGGAAAAATAGGAAAGTTAAAATGTAATTAAAAATGTGTTTAAAAATGATGGGTGTAAATTTTTTTTTTTACCAATTTTTTGGTTGGTAAATAAAAAAGCATGTACTGGTACAAAGACCTCTTACATGTCAAAAAATCAAGGAAAATTTCCGCAGGATCATGACCCTTTATGATTACTCTTTCCCGTAGTAAAACGCTGTGGTCTTAATTGCGCCAAATTTGTCTATTTGAGTACTCAACAGATAAATCAAATGCACACTCAGCTGAGGTTAATGGTGTGGAACATTTTGAAAAAAAATTTGCTGTTTTTTTTAATCATCTCGTATTTCCAGAAGTCATTCAGAACACAAGAAACTCACAGAAATACGCGCCACGCTGCTCAAAGATGAATGCAAGATGAAAACAAACAGTGATGTACAAAGATCTGAGTGCAGAGCCAAACCTCCCAATTCACAAAGTTATAAAAGATAAACCAAAATCAAAACCTAAAAATTGATTATGTGTCGGCTGATCAAAGTGGCGCATTTAAGGGAAAGAAAAATTCTTCTGAACTCATCTTGAGGGGAAAATAAATCCTCCAACTGCCAAAAGTAGTAGTAGTTAGTAGAGCCTTCACTAAAAGACCTGCGACATGCAATACATTTCTGGAGAAGCAACGTAAATGAATTTACCAAGACACATTAAAATCCGGATCATAAAAGCAAATACGTGTTGTTCTGAGAAATATTATTTCTGGCCAGCTTTTGTGGCTGGAGATATGGCTTTTCTTGTTCCATGGATGACTGAAATTGAGGCAAAGCTGTGTGTCAGATGGATAAATCATATCTCTGGTGTGCTTGTGAACATTTTTCCCATGGCAATGCACTGATAATTCATAATTGTCACATATGCATGATTCAGACATGAGCTAAACGCTCAAACAAAACAAGACAAGCATTTCACACACAATCAGCCTCACCAAATCAGCCTCATCAGGACTGTTATTCCATTGGACAATATGCACAATACAGTTAACACTTTTTTTTTTTTTTTGCATACTCTCTCAGAGTTGGTCAAATCAGCAAATCCAGTGAATTATCTCAATTGCAATGCAAACATCAACACGCACTGGATTCTGTAGCTTTTCATTTTTGGCTTTGCCAGCTTTATTCATAATATAGTGCAGCAAAATAGAGTAAGAGCAGGACATGATGGGGAGAAAGGGGGGCAACTGGATCGTGAAGTGCCAAGAACCACATTTTTTGGCCGTTTTCACCTTAAAATCAGAAAGAAAACCAACACATTGGTTGCATCCGAATATGCATACCTTCCTACTATATCAGCGGTGGCGAACTCCGGTCCTGGAGAGCCGCAGCCCTGCAGAGTTCAGCTCCAACCCTAATTAAAACTCACCTGCCTGACCCTAATAAAACCTCACCTGCCTGTAGCTTCCTAGTAACCCTTCAGACCATTATTAGCTTGTTCAGGTGTGTTTGATTAGGGTTGAAGCAAAACTCTGCAGGGCTGCGGCTCTCCAGGACTGACGTTCGCCACCCCCGTACTATATAGTAGGCATGAATATAGTACTATGTCCAAATGCACAGTATTCATAAAACAGTAGGCAAGATACTGAACTGCGTAATCATGTCACTTTACTATCCCATGAGGCCATGGGAGAGGATTTGTGAAGAACAGCTAAGTGATGCAACTGACGCTGGCAGATCACTAGATAAGAGCCTTATTCCTCGGCTGGGATCGTGTAGAGCCCTTTGAAGCTGCATTGAAACTGCAATTTGGACCTTCAACCCATTGATCCCCATTGAAGTCCATTATAAATGGAGAAAAGTCCTGAGATGTTTTCCTAAAAAAAAACGTAATTTCTTTTCGACTGAAGAAAGAAAGACTGACATCTTGGATGACATGGGGTTGAGTAAATTATCAGGAAATATTTATTTATTCTGGAGTGAACTAATCCTTTAACTGACGTGTGAGCGCACACACAAACACACAGATCGGAGATCGCACAGCGCACACACAGAAACATCCAGGAGCACAGAAACTTCTTGTCAAAGCTGACTTTTATTAATAAAATAGCTTCTATACGGAATCACTACTTTATATTTCTCAGCAACAAGGGGGTAAAATCAACTAAAGTAACTAAACTCACAGTTTGTAGAGACAGACACGCTGATGCAGGTCACTCACACGCAACTTTCATCTCTCTCTCAAAATGGCCATATTAGTAGTTTGCATCACTGGATATAGCTGTCAGCCATTTAACATTTCTATCATAAAACAGTTGACTAGTATTAAAATGATTTGCAACTTCAAAAACCTTGTCAAATCTCTTTCAACATTAAACTGATGCTTTGCGCTGGAAGTCACGCTCTGATACTGTGACCAGCCTAAAAATGACACTTTTTGTCATCCTAAAAACAGCGTGCTGCGTAATGGAGTTCAGCAGATCAGTGCAAGACTTTCAGATATTGGGTAGTCTGGCCATTAGTAGTTATTGGGGGGGGGGCTTGTCCTCCTCAATGTCTATGATGGTTACGGTCCTAATCCAAAGGACACTTTACTATCCCATGAGGCCATGGGAGAGGATTTGTGAAGGACAGCAAAGTGACGCAGGTAGATCACTGCAATGACAACATGAGGAATGTAGTACAGCCGGATTACATTCATACAACACAGAACATACTTTTTAACAGTCGTAATTACTTATTCAAAAGAGAGTATGCGATTGCTTTTTGTTTTGTTATTTAGGCCATTAAATTCTGTAGAGCAAAAACACACTTGATGTATTCTTAAAAAATGTACTTGACATGTTCTTTTCATTACACTAAAAAGGTTTTCAAAGTAAAGCAAGCTACCGAGGCGCTAATAACTTCACTTATCCCTCATGAAAAACACATTTTTGATTTTGCTGTGAAACATGACTTGACCTACACTGCAAAATTAATTATTTACATCATGTTCAAACCTCGTTGTTATAATGAGAGGATCCACGAGAGCACAGATCTCTGGCGTTTTGAGTGAATTCTGACTAACTTAACTCTGATTGCCAATTGAGTTCATGCACTCAACAGACATGTCTACAATTTCAGGATCGACTGCGCAGGACTATGAAATAACACATCGAAGAATCAAAGCAGAACGTATTCAATTTGCAAGCTAAAACCAAAAACGCCAATATTTCAAACAGATGAACTTGACATTGTTATTAATCTGAACGGACGTGAGCTAAAAAAAAATGACACTACTGTCTTTCAGAGCCGTTTTACAGCAGAGTCTCCATAGCCTCCATTAACACGTTGTGCTGGAAAGTGTTCCACATTCACTGAATACAGCTGTACAATATCTCTAAAAATGCCATCATCATTGCAGAGGGTCTTACCTTCTGAAGTTTGTATAAAAATCACGGCTAACACAAGCCCATGCACCAAGGGACGTTTCCACAGTGAAGTAGCCATGTTGGTTATTCAAGAGCGTCTCCAGATGCTGGACAATAGTTCAGATTGTAAAGAGGATCTAGACAGTATGCAGGCCACGCAGACATCAGCAATATGCCGCTCTCCACCTTTCACCATTCATGCTCCGTCTGAAAGCACATTAAAGACAAATAATTAGCACTGTGAATTGGGATCACCAAAACAGAAATCATATCGCTTGTACATCAAGTTGTAAAATCTGAAAACACCGAGTAGCTAGGTTTGTAATCAGACCGATGTGTTGGTAATGGGATTGATGGCTCAAAAGAGCTTGTGACTAAACCTCGTAACGCCATCGGATCCTCAGACTCTCAGCGAAACCTCGTAACTCCGATCTCTGCTTATTCACAATGCAAGGATAAATAAAGAACTGATGTTTGAATAAGTACAGCGTTTTCTTTACTCCGGAAACACGGTCTATAAAAGTGAATGTTTTTGTGTGCGTGTGTTTGAAGAGCGAGTTCGAAGAGAAGTTGTAGCTAATATACTGTCCTGTGCATAGCACTTCATCTTTTATACCATGAGATTTTGGCCAAATGTATTCAACAGCAACAAAAAACTGTGCAACCATATAGCTACAATAAACTTTATAACCTGTAAGTTGATGAAAATGCAGCCGTTAATGACGGACAAACACAGATCTCTGGCATTCGCTGGTCAAAAACCTTGTAACTTCATTTGAGCTTGATTTTCATAAAATGTTAATATTATAATGGCACATACAAGTGTCTGATGATCACATAAAGCCACAATACCAGTTTTATATCAAACCTAAAGAGGGAATCCATTTGAATACAACAGTGGCTGTCACAAGCTATCAAATGCAGATTTGCCTGGCTCTAACTGTAAATGAAATGCAACTGGATATTTATTAAAAAAAAAAAATTAAAAAAAAGGAACAAGATCTTCAATACCACCCTGACTTCTTGTTTCAGTTGGAAATGCATCAACACATTGAGAAAAACTGCATTCATCAAGCCACTTCACGAGTGAGCATTAGATGACTGCAAAGATAAAACTACATGTGAAATCTGGGGTCTGAGCAAAATTAAATAGCCAACATCAGTGATACAGAAAAACCTTTATTAGCAGCCAAAAACCAATATGGCTTACAGAAATACTGTGCAGTCCTCACTTTGTCAACCAATTCAACAAAAGCTATTTTTCTTTATGCAAGATGAAAGCAGCCATCTCATATCAAATCAAATGTTTCAAAACATCAGGCTGGGAGAGTGTAAATCGATGTCAATTACAAGCCAGATTTTTGAACAAAAATGTGCACAGATTTGCAAAACTCATAGCCAAAGTACTCGGTTGTTGTGACTCGGTCACCATTTTAAAAGAAAAGGTTGTGTTACTGAAATGCCCTACTGCAGAATCATATCTTATCTGCACATGTTTCAAAAGAAGTTGTCAAGGCTGAATACATTTGATGTAAAAACAGCAATATTGTGAAATATTATTACAGTTTAAAATAGCTGTTTTCTATGTGAATATACGTTAAAAATGTAATTTCTGTGATCAAAGCTGTATTTTCAGCATCATTCCTCCAGTCTTCAGTTGTTTTCTATGGGAATATACGTTAAAAATGTAATTTCTGTGATCAAAGCTGTATTTTCAGCATCATTACTCCAGTCTTCAGTGTCACATGATCTTCAGAAATCAGTATAATATGCTGATCTGCTGCTCAAGAAACATTTCTGATTATTATCAATGTTGAAAACAGATGTGCAGCCCAATATTTTAGTGGAAACTGTGATGCACTACCATTCAAAAGTTTGGGATAAGACTAAAAATAATAATACTTTAACTCAACAATGACGCATTAAATTGAACAAAAGGGACAGAAAGGACATTTTGAACGTTACAAAAGATTTATATATATATTTTTTAAAACTTCTATTTGTCAAAGAATTCTGAAAAAAAAAAAAAAAAAAAAAAGGTTACGTTTCCACAAAAATATTAAGCAGCAAAAATTGTTTTTACATTGATTATAATAAGAAGCATTATTAATAATTAAGCACCAATTATTATTAGAATGATTTGTGAAGGATCATGTGGCACTGAAGACTGGCGTAATGATGCTTTCCATCACAGGATAAATTACATTTTACAATATATTCATATATAAACAGTTTTTTAAATTGGTATTTCTTTTAAGTTATTTTAAAATTGCAGAAGATACTTCATCAACTTACAAACTTACAATGCACTGGCTCAGCATTTATAACGCAGGTAGGAATCCTGTGCAATGGTGCACTTTGAAGAGTGCTTCATCAAAGCTCCTTCATCATCAAGTGCACTGATTATTTTATAATGAACCCAAATATAAACACTGTGCCATATTCACAGCTCTGCTGAAAAGAGACAGAAAAAGTCTGAACAAAACGTTCCATACAGTAGACTAAATTTAATTATGTTTCATAGCACAAAATGTTCTTGCAGATGCATTTAGCATCAGATCAGACATCCGTGTAGAACAAAAACAATTTTGTGCAATGTCACACTTGGCATGCCGAAGCAGTGTGGTTTTAGAAATCAAACGCTTGTACTTAATTAAATGCATTTATTGTTAAATAATTAGCAAGGGCACATTGAACACCGAAAAACAACACCGCAAATTCTGAAGCACCCAGAGAATTGCCAAAAACGAATTCTCTCCTCATCTAAATCACCACAAATGTATGACTTTCTTTCTTCAGATGAACACAAACTGAGATTTTTGGAAAAAATAATCCATCTCTGTTAGTCCATAAAATGCAAGTGCATGGGTTCCTCAAAGTTGACGCTTAAAAAAACCACACAAAATGAATATGATGGTAATCCACGCGATGATGAATCAATGTCTTCTGAAGCAAAATAGGTGTGTGTGAGAAAAATACTATTATTCTAATCTTATTAAACTATAAACCACTACTATAATTATTATTATAATTACTATAACTATAATTATTTATTTTAATTCATATTTAAGAAATTTGAAAATGGATTATAAATATTTTTCACAAATAAATAAATAAATATTTAATAAAAATATAATTAAAATGGAAGTAAACACTGTAACCAACAGGGCACTGAGTATTCTGGGACGTTTGTGTGCATTGGGAATCATATTTTTTCAAATAAAGCCAAAGTAACACTCATTTTACACACAGCACACAGTGAAAATGACATGAATATGACAGTGGGCAAATGCATAAAGCGCAGCATAATTTGAAATCAGTCACGAGTTTAAAGTTTGACGATCACGCGTCTTCCAGTGAAGCTGAACTCTCCTCCGGTCCGTATTCAATTCACACGGACCATAGGACCGACCGTCACAGAACACCTTTAATTTAATTCCTTTGTTTAACAGTTCTATCTGATTATTAGATAGACTTCTACCCATATTAGACAGAACTGGATGACAACAGCGAACAAGAGGGAGAATGTGAGCACTGTGTGCTCAGGCGCTGCCGCAGCCGTTCTCGGCGCCGTCACAGTAAAAGTCCCGCCTCGAACACATCGGCCAAACAGAAAAACTTATCGGCCGATGCCGATATTTGAGAAATGGCAGATATCAGCCGATATATCGGATATATAAAAATCCCTCAGCCTGCTGAGACTGAAGACGCTGATAGACTGGGATAAACATGCTTTATTTCTCTTCATCATCGCGCTCAAACGCTCACACCGCTGAGAAACATGCTCACTGTATGTCTGGAGGCTTAAATCGCAGGAGCCCACCATTCTCATCCCCATAAACACCACTTTGTTTGGCAGATTTCAGACTGGATTTGTTCTGACTTGAAATAAAAGGATTATATAGCTTTAGAGAGCTTTGCGCCATTCCTGACTGAGGCTTGAATTTTTATTTACTTCTCCATGAAGGAGAGATCTGAAATACTAGAAACATGCACAGTGAGACAATATCAAGCATTTGATTCCATACTAGGGATGCACGATATTATCGGAATCGGCCGATGATGAATTTAAAAAAGAAAATGTAAATATCGGCATTGGCCCAATATGAAAAATTATGCTCATATGTCTTGCCGATAAGAGGAATACATTAACTCGCAAGTGCAAGTGATTAGATCAAATCAGCAATTTATTAAAAGAATAGCAAAAAATGAATTTTTAGGGCACTATGAAATACATTTTATTTTTTCTTCAAATTCCACTATTTTTCTTCTATTTTAATTTTTGGGGTTCAATTTTAATGGTTTAATTAAATTTTAATAATCAAACAGCATGTCTAATCAATTGAAGCTTTAAAACATTAACAACTTAATAGTTTATTACTTGTTTATGATAATAAGGCACTATGAAATGTTAAATATTTTTCTTAAATTCTGTGTTGTGTGCTTTAATTTTTCTGGATTTATTATTTAATAAAAATGTATTCATCAAAAGTGGTGGTAATAATACAAAGGCATAGGAAAAATAAAATTTACTCTTAAAATGTAATCAAATGAAAATTAAACCATTCCTTTTATTTTTGGCAGCCTGGAGGACTTGAGATCAAATATGGCTCTGTTTGTGAGTGTGACAATCATCCCAGAGCTACCTGAGAGTTTCTAAGACAGGGAGGAACTGAATGAACGTGGGAAGAAAAGAATGGAAAAGCAAAAGAAAAGGGTGGGCGGGTCAACCAGGATGATTGACAACTAGTGAGTGTCGCTTGACCTCTCAGGGTTCGTCTCCAAGTATTCTTGACAGGCTTAAAGAAGCAGAACATAAAAGAGCTGGAATGTTAATTTATTTTCAATTGCCAGGACCAAGATGGGAGAAAATAAAGAATGCATACATGCAAGCATAGCAAGTGAAACAGGCACAAATGAGATGGAAAGCTGCATCCAAAATTTAGCTCAAACGCAGCTAATTAAAGACATAAAGCTGTATTTTTTTTTTCCAAAGAGGATTATAAAAGTGTCAAAAAGTAACCCAACTGTCATAAGATTCACAAGATAACTTCACATTTGATAGAACACAGATTCTATTCAAGATATTTTTGAAATCCCTTTCTCTATCAATCATGGATTTCTAAAATTAATCACAACTAATTCAAAAGATCAATGTGATTTTGATCAGCATGCCCAACACATTCAGTCACTTGACTGTGGTTTAT